ATATTACAGTGGTCTCATGACATTATAAAGGAACTGAAAAACTCTTATCAGCTTGTAATTTTACCATACCTTTTCTAGGTTTACATAGAGTTAAGATACAAAAGTACTTATACTGTGTTACAATTGCCTACAGTGTTCAGTACAGCAATACGCTGTACAAGTTCATAGTAAAGAAGCAACAGACTGCATCACACAGCCCGGCTCAATTATTTTCACTTTTGTTTTCATGACTATTACACTTGATCTTAGCCAAAGGCAGAGAAGCGACCAGGCATGGTGGCGCATGCCTATAACCCCAGCACTTGGGAGACTGAGGCAGGAGGTTGCTGTGAGTTCAAGACCAGCCTGGGCTATACACAGTGAGTTCTAGGTCAGTCTCAACTACACAGGGAGACCCTCCCTGTGTCAAAAAACCAAAAACTAAAACCAAAAGCAAAAGCAGAGAAGCAATTTTTCATGGCTGTTGCCTTGTGTCTCCTAGCAGTGCACTCCACATCACCTCTGCTCTCCCCCGATTGCAGATAGCCCAGGCTCTGACTGAGCACTGTGCTGCCGTCCTCTGTCCACCGCACAGTGAGCACACAACAGCACAGCTGCGACAATGTGCAGCAGACACATGAGCTACTTCTGCAACTTCCTCACATCTGGGAATGTTCGGAATGCTAGTTCAAACATATCCACGCACGTTCATGACTCAATTGTTCCTAAGTTGAGGACTTACTGTATGCACATCAATCTGTCATACCTTTTCAACAATTAGGACAAAGTCAGCTTCACAGATCAAAACTTTCTTAACCTTTGCATGCTTTGGGGAAGTTCAAGGTTAAACACAGAGAACAGCAGCACACACATCTGTCCTGAGACTAGTCAGGGCCTTACAAATGCCTGTGTGGCAAACTACCACCTGCACTATGCTTGCACCATAAATTTATACAAGAAAATATGTTCAGCAGACTAAAACTACTTATTTCTTCCTAATCAGTTTTGCAAAATTCAAAACATTACTATATTACATTTAATTTCTAGTTTCCAGAAATGATCAAAGTAAGCAAACTGCCACTGAAGTTCTCTGTTGAGCTATATGCTACAATTTATTAAAAGAAAATGATTGAAGGAGCAATAATTTTTTTTCTTTAATCATAACTAACTTTAAATGTAGTTCAATCATGATACAAGTGCTTTACCTAAGCTACAAAATTTAAACTCTAGGAAGTAAAAGGAACTGTACTCAATGAGGGCTTGGGGAGAAAACAGGGACAAAAGAGGTAAAGCAGAAAGGAAGAAATGAAAGGGAGAAGTAGTGGGAGCCTTTTAGGGTACAAATAGATAACCCAAGGCCTCCGACTGAAAGGAGGGTTACAGTCACTTCTGCTTTATTATGTAACAAACACTGAGTAGAAATAGGGCTTCTGTTCCTCTTCTAGTACACTGTTTGAATTTAAATTAATGTTAGAAAGATTCAAGGGCTGGGGATTTAGCTGAGTGGTCTTGCTGCCTGCCTGGCAAGCACAAGGTCCTGAGTTCAATCCCCAATTACCCCCCTACCCCAAAAAGATTCAGTTGTGTAGAAAATGAAGAGAAAAACTGAAAAAGATGTTAAGTTTTAGCATTCAAGAGATTTGACTTTTACAGAGAACACATTTAATATACTGTTTATACTGCTGGCTTCACATAATGCTGTTTTGTTTGTTTGCTTGTTTGCTTTTTGTTTTGGAGACGGGGTCTCGCTGTGTAGTTCAGGCTGCCCTTGAACTTACTAAATAGCCCAGGCTGCCCTCAAACTTGCTGTGATCCTCCTGTCTCAGCTTCCTGATTATAGGTGTGTGCCACCATACCCAGCCACTTGGTACCGTGTTTGGGGGCAATTAAATTGTCTTCTAAGTCTCATTACTGATGTCTTTTTCTTTGGGGATTAGTTCTTCTTTGGTGTGTGGTAGGAAAGTGTCTTGTTTCTTGATGTGAAGAACCTCTTCTTTGTATGAGTACAATTCCATACTCCAGCTGAGAGTAAGTAAAAGTGAATAAAAACAAAAAGAGGCAAAATAAGAACATCCCACCTGCCCAAGAGGCACACAGGAGCCAGGTCATCATTAGATCATCAGAGAAGTGGAGGTATTTGCTGCATGGTTGTGTTCAAATAACCCTAATTTACTCATTACCAGTCCCCAAAGCTAAGGGTAATCGCTCAGATAGGCCAAGGAGAAGTTCCATAAGTGCACCCTTTACAGGAAGAGGTGGAAGTACAAGAAGATCACTTAGAGAGAAACTACCTCTGCGTAACTTTCATTATAGCACATTGTTATAATGTTCTACTTTAGGGTTAGTTGTTAATTTCTTACTGTGCCTAATTTGCAAATTAAATGTTATCACAGGTTGTACATTTGGAATAAACATAGTGCATCTAAAGTTCAGGCTATCAGTGCTTCAGGTATTAACTAGAAGTCCCACACATCCCCAGGGTGAGGAAGTACTACTACACTGATCATTCCCACATCCTCATCACCTGCTGAGCTAGCACATGGCAGACGTTCGATGAAGTTTATGGAATAAGCGCACCAATATCCTTTGCAGTATTAATTCAGTAAATCTCTAGATAAATGAATTATAAAACAAATAAAACTGAATGCGGAATTTCTGTGTCACTTTGACAGGCAATTTGTGAAAGCAACATGGATGCTGAATGTTTCTAAGTTGCTGTACCATTTTTCGTTTGGAAAGAGAATATGCAAAGCATTAGAAAATGATACTGTCCTAGAAAACCCAACCTACCCTACAATCACTGGGACTAGCTAATTTTCAAATAATTTTATATCTATGAACTGTACACAATCTCCATTTCCTGAATACCCAATAACATGAAAATGTTCCCAGCTTCATCACAGGACTCAAATGAGCAATGGTATCTTCCTTAGCTTTTAGATTTCCAGTTGACTTCCAAACCCTGGCCTGTGTTTCAGCTGGTATCTAGATGTCTCCAACAAAGGCTGTAAATGCAATCATAGGTGGGGCTTTTTGGAGAAGGCTAAATCTAAAGGTGTGTGAATATGAACTAAGGACATCAAGTAAATTAGTCCGCTGACTAGCTTGGCACAGTTCTGGGTGTGAACAGCGGGAAGCCTCACCCTAGGTGTGGGTGGCACCAACCAATGGGCTTAGAGCCTGAATAAAAGGGAGGGAAAAGGGAGGCTCACGCTGTGCCTCTCACCTGCCCTATGACTAACTGCTGCTCCTCTGCCAATGCTGCCCTGTCTTGGAGTCAGCCAAAATGAACCGAAACCTCTACAAGCTGTGAGCTAAAATAAACCTTTCCTTCTTCATCTTTGGGTGTGGGGTATTTTGTCCCAGCAACGAGAAAGTAACTAAGACAACCTGTAACCAGACCTCTCTCCTGATCCCAGACAAAAGGAACACAAAAATCTATTAAACACAATTTTTACCAGACTGAAATCACCAACTTCTGCCCAAACTATTCTCCCTTCCTTTATACCTGGCCTGGAAAATCTATCTGAGCCAGAAACCCGGAAGTCAGTCTAGATTCCTCCTTTCCCATACCCTCCCTGCCCCTACATGCCCTGCCTCCATCTACTAGGTAAGGTCTCTGCTTGGCTCAGATCCTCCTCACCTTGCAAGACTTCTCCAATATCCACCTTAATGTGCTCCTTCCCTCTTGCTTTCTTCCTCCATAATCCAAACTTCAAAATATGGCCATGTTTTCTCACCTTTCAAAACTTTTTATTAGCTCCCCAAAACATCAAACCTACCCGACTCTACTGCCTCAGCATCTCACACCGCACCCCAGTACACTGAGCCTCTATGGTCTGCCATCACTCACTCTGCAGATACTCCACAGAGTAAGAATCACTCCCTGTGGCTAATTAGTGTCCAGACGCCAGACTCTGAAACGACTGTACTCATCCCTGTAACTCAACATCTGGTACAGCACCTAACCGGCTTTCAAATATTTGCTGTGTTAGTCACTTTTCTCTTGCTAATGAGACAAAATATCTAACATTCGAAGTTAAAAGAGAAAGGTTTATTTAGCTCAGTGTGTAGAGGTTTCAGTCCATAGTCGGCTGGCTCCAAGGCAGAGTAGCACATGGCAGAGGGACAACAGGTCATGGCCTTGGAATACAGCAGTTAACCAGAGACCTTAACAGCATCTTCCTGCCCCTTTTATCTTATTCAGACTACTTAAAATGGCCAGCACTCACACCCTTAATCCTTGTACTCTCAGCCATAGCACTGCACTATCTGCACCATGAATAACAACACTGAGATTCAGCCTTCTCTGAAATAGCCCCACCCCATTCACACGAGGCTTTGGGGGACATCTAAACACAAGCTCTAACACTCGCTAAACAGAATTTCACAAGTTAATAAAGTAGTTGCTTCTCCATTGCACAAAGGTACAACATGTCTCAGGAATATAAAATTAAATGACTTCAATAATCCATCCTACAATAATCTCATCACTGCAATTTTAAAACATGGATCTTAAAACTCAAAACAAAGAAATAATCACTTCTCTAAACAAGCTATTTATAAGATAAAGTTGGGTATTGCTTACCTGTAAAATGTTAGTAAAAAAGTCATGGTAGAACATGGGCCAATCTTGACGTCCAATATCAACAATAACTTTGCAGAGTTTGTTCCGGATAAAGTAAGGTAAGGTTTTATGGTGAGCCAAAAGAAGTTTGGGCAGACAGCTACGGATTTCCATCTTATCCTGAGATGGTACCCCAAGCCACATTTTATTGATCAGATTCTGAAAAGCAAATATATGTCTTTTAAACTAATGATCTACATTCAAAAATAACAGGTTTTCAGCCCATGATTAGCTACACTGCTTCACACACCCCCACACACACACACACCCATACAAAAACCCTCAGTGGTTCAAGGATTTTGGCAAAAGAAAAAAAATTAACAAACATTAAAGTCTATGACACAACAATTCCACTCCTAAGAAGATGTGCTGCTAAACAATAAAAATGAAAAGCTGTATGTGTAAAAACTTTCTATCACATCACTGTCTCTAATGGCCACCAAAAAATAATGACAGGAATAACTGCAATATTTAAAAGTGGGAGAATGCCTTGGTGAATAATGGCACAGCCACCTATGAGAATATAATATAAAGGTGAGGGGGATCAAAATACAAAAGGGCGCATATAATATGATATTAACTAGATGTTTTTAAAATGTGCACAGAAGGCAGAGCACAAGGAGTGGAAGACAGTTACTATAAATGAAAAATTTTGTGGTTGGAGGACGATGGTATTATTATAGGTGTCATCCCTTCTCCCAAAATGCTTTTCTTTAGTTACCTTTCTCTTTTAATTGGGTTTGTTTGTTTGTTTGTTTTGGATACTGGGGATGTAACTCAGGACCTTGTGTTTGTGAGGCAAGCGCGATGCCACTGATGCCACTGAGCTAAATCCCCAGCTGTCAGATATTTAACCATAAAGTCAACCTCCCATTTGGTCTTTCTGGTGTCAAGGATAGAAAGAGCCCTGGAACACCAACAGGGAGGTAGATACATCATATGGGACAAAGTCCCAGAGCTCTAAGATATCACTGCTTCAAGGTCTAGTGCCAATGGATGTGACAACTGACTAGAAAAACCTTTCAGAAAATTATAAAATTATCTGACAACTTACCTCAAAAACTGTTAAACTGTACATCATGACATAGTCATTCCTGGTGCTAGAGAGAAAATACAGGCAGAATCTCCAGGCTCCTATTTGCTGGGCAAAGTTATTAAGAAGCTCCTCTGGAAAAGTTAGCAATAAAAGAAGGCTATAAAAACATGAAATTAGTAAGAAGGCTAAGCTGTTTTACCATTTTTTCTAAACATGCCTCACCATATAATATAAATGACTCTTCAAGACAGAAAAAACAAATCATACTGTATTTTTCTTACTGAGATAGCATCAGACAGTGTTCTCAGACATCTAAAAGCCAGTGACATTCATTGTCTTGGAAGTTTTCTTGGGTGAAACTTGTTTATTTAACTGCATGTGTACATGGCAAGTTAATAAGAGTATCCCTCCACACTCTTTTGCTTTTTTGGTTTCATATTGAGGACTGAACCCAGAGCCTTTACACTGAACTACACCCCCAGTCCATTTTTTGAGACAGGCTTTCACAAAGCTGCCCAGGCTGGGCTCAAACTTGCAAACCGAGGCACCCTGCCTCGGGCTCCCACCATGGTGGGTCTATAGGAGTATACCACTAAACCCAGCTTCACTGCACCTTGTTTAAAATGATGATTAACTTGTATCCTCAGATTTGAGCTATCACTGCTCAATTTTCAGTGAAGTCTACATCATTTACACATTCATACAAAATGATAGCTAAAGAAGCTGAAAACCAACGATTAAGACTAACCTCACAGGCTAGGGACATACCTCAATAAGTAAGAGCACAAGGTAGCTAGCAGCATGTGCAAGGCTCTGGGTTCAATTCCCAGAACAGGGGAAAGAAAAAAAAAACTGAACTTACAAAAACAAAACAGGGGGAAAAATGCAAGGAAATTCAGATTGACTAACTCTTCATTTAGGTCAGTTCTATTTGTAAATTACATATAGATACAGATATAGATATATTTCAATCATGAGAGTAGCCAAGAGCAGTACTATCTACATATCAAATCAATGAAAAATGTTTTCCTTTTAGGCAGTTCACAGCATCAGCCAAAACCCACAAGAACCTATTACCATCTTTCCAAACACGCAGCCCCTTAGTATCTTGACCTGTAGAACTAGTCATAAAATATAATCCAATGGTCAAAACACAAAGGCCAACAATTCTGAGAGATTCTTGGAAGCCCCAGGAAAAGTAAAATACACAGCAGCTCATTCTAATCATTGCTCTGCTAGTTCTCTATAATTCAGAGTAAATGTAACAAGACACTCTCATTAAAAAGTCTGTCAAAGGAAGCTGATGGCCTGTCCAGATCGTTAAGCAGAAAAGTATAGGAACCCCAGAGGTGAAGTCAAACCAGAAAGAATGCTATGGCAGGAAAGAAGGCACTCTGGGCCCTATTCTAGGCTCTGCCACTAATTCTCTGAGCATGACCCCAAGCCAGCCATTGTTCCTCCTGATCTTCCATTCCCTCCAGTTTAAAAGGCCAGACGGTCCCTTGAGGTCTCCACTAACTGGTCCATCATTCTCTACAGCACTAGTAACTTGCCTTTACTAGAGTGTGAGCAAAGCCCTTTAAAGAAAAGGCCTTCCTCGTTTCCCATCTCCCTAGAAAAAGCCTTTAGTTTCTCCTAAGATAAGAAAAAAGAGGCAAGAGTGGTTCTAGCCCACATACTCAAAGTCACAAAGCCTAGGTACAAAGAGAACTGAAAGAAGACACACTTGTATAGAACCAAACCCCCGGATTCCCCTAAGCTGAATTTAAACTAGACATTTGCAGCAGCTGGTTATTTAAATCTATTTTTAAATCATATTCAAATACAGACATATTATAGAAGGTTCTACTTTTATTTCATAAGTACACCAAGTGAGCAACATTTGATTTGTAAAACAAAAATTAAAAGCCAAAAACATTGCAACTATAAGCTTGAAGAAAAAAAGGACTTCGAAGAAATGAGGACTAATGTAAAAATCCTCCCTCTGCCTTCTTTCATCGAAGTCATGGCTGGTATTTTCACTGAAAGTATATGATACTGGAGTAGCATAAAAGTAACAAGGAGGTCAGTCACTCTGAGGGTAAGAAGAGGGTCAGCCTATCTGAACAATCAGAGAACCAGAGAAGCCAGCACAGTAGGTCTCCTAAGCTGGATGCCATCTTTGGGCTTGGCTGCTATTGTTATAGACAACCTGACTCCATTTTGTGCCTCATCATCGGTCCCCCCCATTTCATGATTCTGGGTGCTCACCTCCCCGCCATGGAGTCCCCTCAGTTGATGCTGGCTGCATCCTACTTGGTAGAGCAGTCTGCAGCTATATGTTATCTTTATGGCCTTGTGAACAGAACACTGGCCTGTGTGATATTTTGTTTCAACTAAACTGTGAAACTTCCCCTGATTCCCAATAACTTAGCAAAGTTCTGCCCCTGTGAAATTCCGCTTGCCCTGTCTCCCTGAGCCCTCCCCAACCAGACAAGCCACATAAAAGAAACCCTCAAGCTGCTTTTCCTTGTGAGTTTTCCAGCTGATCTCGAACATGCAGCAATAAAAGCACTCAAATTTGGCTCAAGTGTGGTGATTCTCTATAATCTCTCGAGATTAAGTATAACGCTGTCAGTGAGTCCTTGTGCAAAAATGCCCTAGTTCTATACAGTACGTTCCCTCAGAAAGCAAAGGCACATGGGGAACAGGCCCAAAACAATCAAGTTTGCTATTAAAAGGGTTAAGAAATGGCATCTACCAGGACATATGAATGTTTAAAAAGATGTGGGGGGAAAAATATAGGTAACAGCCAAATGTCACCTGACCACCTGGCAAATTCTGAACCCCAACTAAGCTTTGGACTACAGGGAATTAACCACAAGATTTAACTGGCTAACATGATTACAGAAGCTAAGGGAGACAGAGAAATGGGCCTCTAGAGCCACAGAAAAGACCTCCAAGGAGGCAGAAGCAAAGAATGTAAGATCAGTACAGGTAGTCAGATACTCAAGGGAAAAGCCTGTACGTTTAAATGGAAAAAAATATCTTTCATTCTCAAGTTCCGGGATGAAGACTCAAGGGAAGACAGACTGCTCCAGCACCACAGTGAAATACATCCTCCTAGGGCACGGGTTTGATCCTGAATTTATTTTCTATTTTATAGTTTGCTTTAATTAATACTGCTTGTATGAATAAATATAAAAATCAAAAACAGCTCCTACAATGTGCTAAGGTTCTAGAAGTGGTTCCACCTAATTCCGTTGCTTAAAGCCATTAGTCATGAAAATTTGAAGAATGGGAAAGGCAACAGCAGAGAAAAGGAAAAAAAAGAAGCTGAAAGCTCCCCAAAAATAGTACCAGTTAGGGGATTCAGATCAGACCTCCGCACACCAAAACATGTTCATTTTGACATTTTCATTAGTTTTGTAATATTAAACAGTCACAGGCTCCTTATACAAGTTCAAAATGTTGCAAAAGTTAGTAACAAAACGGGAAAGGGTTTACACTTGACCAAGGGAAAGAAATTCCATCAGGAAGATAAATTTGCAGACCTCACTAGCCACCAACCAGGAAACCAGAGCAAAAAAAGGAAGAATTTGAGGGAAGGCATACAGGCTTGAGGAGCCACAGCTACAGCTCCTTCCTCCCAGCTTGTTATAACTGATTCTTTACACTCAACATGTCTCACTTACCTATCTCACGTTTTCTTTCATTTGTTGTACAATCATGAAAAAATTCTGTCATCAGACTTTCCAACGCCCTGAGGGAGGCTTCTTCAGATGCCTGATAAAGAAATTTGGAAAAAAAACAATAAAATGCATCTTAAATTCAATTGTTCCTCATTTCCTTCCAGGTCACATTCGACAGCAAGAGCAACTTACCTCCTCAAAATATCTTGTTTCAACATTCTTCAAATATCCAGTCTAATCCAGAAAATCTAAAGGGAATTTCCCAGCTGACTCAAAACCCAGAGCTTTAGTATCTGCATGAATTCATGCTATTACGTGAATTATTATTTATGATTTAAAATTCAATTCTAGAAAGATGTGAAAGCTCCTGGACTGGCAGGGTAAAGAGATTCTCCAAGCCTTGTGAACCACCCGAGGCTCTGGGGTTTCCAGGGCATTCCAGGAGTCACCCTACAATCAGCTCTGTCTTGAATGAGCAGCTAACAGAGATTAAAGTACAGCTGAGAGCCAGGGCCTCAAAAATCACCCAACAGAGCACGGCGAGCCTGCTCAGGCTGAGAGTGAGAAGACAAGAACACGGGGCCCCAAGGCTCATCTTCTCCCATATCCACATGGAGCCCCAACAACCCACTTCCTTTTCACTCAGGAAAGTAGGGAACAACAGCTATAGCAACAAGCTTGAGTTAAAATGCCACTTAACCTGTCTGCAAAAAGATGAGTGTTCCAAAATGAGAACCAAGAGATCTGTCATGTAAAGGTACAAGTTCCCAATGATGAATGTAACTGTACTGTATACTTAAAAAGTAACAATAAACTCAGTAAGATTTTTTTTAAAAAAGATGAGTGTTCCAGACCATGTCTGAATCCGCACTGGCATGATCTACCCCAGACATAATCAAGAAAACAATAGCATTCCTGATGTTTTAATTATCTTTTAATTCCTTCCTACCCACCTCCCTTACCCAAAACTCTCCATTACCCCCAGAAAGCCAACTATAAAAACTGCTTCTGTGTGTGTGCCTGTGTGTGTGTGTCTGTCTGTCTGTCTGTCCGGCGGAGTGGGCACGTCAACTAGGAACTGAACACAGGGTCTTTCACACTGAGTTACATCACAACCCCTTTTTCATTTGGAGATCGTGTGCGCTTGGGCTCAAACTTATGATCTTCCTGCCTAGGCCTCCCAGAGTACTGGGATCACAGGTGTGTGTCAGACTACCACAGATCAGAGGCCACCAACTGGTAATTTACTTATGTGGAGATTATGGAACCTTGGCCATCTCCAAGGATAAACCAGCACTTAGGACAACCACCAATCACAGAGGCTGAATCAGCCTTGCAAGGGCAAGGGCAATCAGTGCAAAGGCACTGCCTTACATGAGTCATGTTTAAGCAGTGCCAGGTGCAGCTGCCCCTCATACTGCAGTCCTGGTATGATGGCTATACAATGACAACAGAACTGACCTGCTGGGTAATGACTTATTACATAACAGTTATAGCACTTCTGAGTTTGAGGAACTTTCTTATCTTAATTTCACATTTACGGCTACAGATTGGCCCTCTATTACTCTTGCAAATTTATGTCAATTTAATTTTTAAAATCCTTCCTATGCAAGCCAACCTGTCCTATTAAACACTATCTATAAGTCAGGCACAGTGGGGTATGCTTGTAGTTCCAGCCACTCAGGAGAGAGAAAAAGGAAGCCCAGGAGTTCATGACCAGCATGATCCATAAGGCAAGACCCTGTCTGTTAACATTAACAACAAAAAGCCTATAAAAATTTTCAAATGCAGAAATAAGCTGGAAAATGATGCTAAAATAGACTGAAATTCTTTTATTTAAAAGATTTATATTTATCAAAAGTCTTGTTCTCATTAACTGACAATGCCATGAACCCAAACTTCTAAAATGAATTTATAACAACAAAGATTGCTTTGACCTATTTCATAAATCAAGCCTAAAGTACCATTTCATGGGTTGTGGGGGGTGCTGTTTAAAAATTAAAAGGCGTAGCTGGGCATGGTGGCGCACGCCTGTAATCCCAGCACTCAGGAGGCTGAGGCAGGAGGATCGCTGTGAGTTTGAGACCAGCCTGGGCTACATAGTGAGTTCCAGGTCAGGCTCAACTACATAGTGAGACCCTGTCTCAAAAAAACAAAACAATAAATAAATAAATAAACTAATTTTTAAAAAATTAAAAGGCTATAGGAAGATTTCTGAGAACCAAAGGAAGGAACACAGGTTAAAGTAACTTACTACCTGTTACAGCTTTTGTCAGATGTCCTCCCCAAAGCCTCAAGCACTGATAGCTAGAAGTTTGGGGAGGCAGCTGGATCTTGCGCGCGCGCGTGTGTGTGTGTGTGTGTGTGATGCTGGGATTAAGTTATATGATGCTTGGGTCAAGGGTTCATAATTGCTAAATCAATTAATTAACTGACTAGTTTAACATAGTTCTGGGTGTGAATAATGAGAAGTCCCACCCTGGGTGTGGGTGGCACCACTCAAAAGGCTGGTAGCCTGGAAAAGATAAAAGAGAGGCAGGCAGCTGCTGCTGCTTGCTGCTTTGCTGTTTCCTGCCCGTTTGCCATGGACTATCTCTCTGTGATGGTGCACTGGCATGCTAACCTGCCTTGGAGCAAGCTGACTACAGAATGAGACCTCTATCAATATGAGCCCAAATAAACCTTTCCTCCTTGATCTGTGGGTGTTGGGTATTTTGTCTCGGCACTGGGAAAAGTAACGAAGACACTACCAAAATAGTAAAAATAAATGTAAATCAAGAAACATCTGTTGAATTACAATCATTATTGAGATAAAACTAGTCCAAAGTTCTTCTGGAGCCAAAATCCATTCCTGGACACTAAAGATACATCTTCAAATCCCATCTCTCCACAACTTTCCTGGTGTGAAATCTTTTTAAAAAGATCTTGGAAAGAAAAGAACCTTTGTGCTCTAATTAGGCCTTTGTCCCTTGTATTCTAATTTCCCTCAAGGCTTATCTCAGCTATCTAGGGCTTGGCCTTCAATTTATTGGCCCTTGCCCTAATCTGCCTGTCACCCCTCTATTACCCGGCTCTGGAGTCTCCTGTTAGAGGTGATTTCTAAGTTCTTTCTGTCCAGAACAAAAACTTAATGAAACAGGCATAAATGGTGGCAAAGTTTTACATTTATCAAAGGCAGGAAAAAACAGTCTGCAGAGCTAGTTTTGGAATAAAGGTAGGAAAAAAACAGGCTCAGCAAAGTAAGTCTGGGCCAAACAAAAATAGAAAGAGGAGAAAAACAATTTACATCCTACAGTGTAGGGTGGGCTACCATGAAAAGACACCACAGGGAGTGCTTAGTGGCGACGGTCTCTTTTTATATCTTTAACACTGGCATCACATCTAGGTCTTCCTTTCAAACACCTGCCGAGTTTTTGTGAGACGGCCCTGTGTAGGGCCTTGGGAATGGTTCTGTGCACATGTCTGGAGAATTTTGTCATGCCTCTTTTTCTAACCAGTTTTAGCCCACACCATCTTCCTGCCTCACCTCTATCTCTTGATCTCACAATCAACACCAAAGTTTATTCTGTACTGGTTTTTGAGGCAGAGGTTTGTGAACGTAATGGCAAATTCCTGACAATCTCCCAGAAGAGTCCAATTCTGTCTCCACTCCCAGTCCCACCTAGCTCACACAACCCCTACCCCAATCTAAGAAGCTAATAATGTGCAACCCAAAAAGCTGGATAAAAATGGAAAAACCAAAGTACACATAAGAATCACAGATGCTCTCACCACATGATGGTTACATGGAAAAGACACTCCAGAACCTAGAACAAAATGCATGCCATCTGTATTTTTAACCCCTTCTATAATTCCAACACTATCCTGCCTCAAAGAGTACTATGAGGATCACAGGAGGTGATCCAATGTAAAGCTAACTATCTAACTAGTAGTTATGGCTGCTCACTTTTACTTGGTCTTAGATATCAAATAACAGACCAAGCAACCTACTCAGGCCCCTCCTGCTGTCTCTCAGGAGCTATTCGTATTCTCCATTCCTATTGCCCAATAACTTTTCCTATTCTTTAAAAAAAGAAAAAAGAATAGAAGTGGTCCATCTACTTTATAACTAGAGACATCCCTAGGGCTTTATCCCAAACATATCTACTGGCACTTGTATTTAAAATGAAACTATGTAAATCATGTATGCCAAAAATCATACAATCAGAACAGAAATACAAAAGGGCATGTTAAAGACCTACAACTAGTTAGCATTTCTACTCTCCCCTTTGGCAAGACCACTGGAACCCTTTCTGGCTGCTCTGAGTAGGTGGTGAAGCCAGATTCTAGACCAGTGATGGAAAATCTTTCAGGGCCTTCAATGATACAGCCTGCTATAGCATGCATGCCACAGGTTCACTGTCTCTGATCTACACTGGAATAGGCATGACACACAGTGTGATAGGGAGAAAAGCTTCAATTCCTGAAGGCACTCAAAACAGCATCTCCTGCACTGCACTGACTAACTTGTGAAGAACACTCAAGGTTCAGACATCCCTGACTGCTTTCCATCTTGTGTTTGGAATGTACACCTGAGGTCTTGGAGAACCAGGAAAGTTCAAAACTAAGTGAGAAGTCAGGCGTGGTAGTTCACACACGTAATCCTAGATTCTGGGAGGCTGAGGCAGAAGGATCAAACTCAAGCCCAACCTGGGCTTTACAAAGTGAGACCCTGTCTCAAAAAAAGAAAAGTGATACATACTTACAAACATGACATGCAAAAATACCAAGTGGATTATACATATAAAATATGATAAGTAAAACAATAAAGTTCCTTTAAGATAGCATCTCCATGACCTTCAGATAGGAAAAAATTTCAAATCCTCAAGATACATAAAGCATTAAACATAAAGGAAAAGACTGATAAATTGGATGTTCATCAGATGAAACAAGAGAATATAAAAGCAAGCCACAAAATAAGAAAATATATATGTGATATCATAAATGACAGAGAACTCACATCAGAGAATACAGTAACTTAACAAAGCAAAGAAAAACTAGGCAAACAGGTACTTATAAAACAAAAGTGTTCAAAAGACTTGTAAATAAGCACTC